AGTCTCTAAGGTGCCACAAGTCCTCCTGTTCTTCTTTTTGCGGATACAGACTAACACGGCTGCTACTCTGAGACCCACAGAGCAAACTCCTTGTGCTGCAGTGATGTGCTGGGGAGAAGGGAGGGGACCCTCTCTGGCCCCAGCATACAGCATTTGGGTTGCTAGTGTCCCCCTGAGCCTGGGCAGAGGTCTCGTGTCTGCGCCATGGAAATAGCTCAGTGCGCTCTGCCCCCTATGGGCCCTGGTGGGCAGGGAATAGCCACAGCCCAGTGTGCCCCAGCCACACCCCGATCCTCCCCCATGGTCCCTGGGGGGCAGGGAATAGCTGCAGTGCTGGGCACCCCGGCCTCAGGCCCTACATCAAGGGCTAGGAGAAGGGTGGGGGCAGGACCCCTACAGCTCCACACCAGCTGGGGCAGCCTCGTTTACTGGGTGCGGGATTCTTGAGTGGCCGTTCCACTGCCAGAGCAGCCTAGTGTCACCTGAGCATAGCTGAGACTCAGGCCTGTGATTGTTAAGCTCCCAGGGGCCCGGTCACCTGGGTCCCGTCATCCAGCTCATTGCAGGTGGGTGATACAGGAACGTCTCCCTGCCAGGACTGTACAGAGCGTCCCCTCTTGTGTTGCAGATATTGACGAGTGTCAGGGCCCGAGCCCGGCAGACTGCGGAGCCCACGCAAACTGCACCAATGTGGCTTGGAGTTACTACTGCACCTGCATCGATGGCTACGAGCCCAGCTCTGGGAAAGCCAACTTCATGCACGCGAGTGAGAACACCTGCCAGGGTGAGCTCTCCCCTGCCCCCACCCCCGCTGAGACTTCCCCTCGCACACACAAATGCTCATTCCAGGCCTGGTGCTGCACCGGGGCTGCTGCTGTCAGCGAGGCTGTGAAGAGACGTGACTCTCGCCTGCTCCCGCAGAGCATGGGGCCGGGCTCACCCCTATGCCCGGCGCTTGGACAGGGAATAAACCTTCGGGGTTAGAAACAGACCCATGGAGCAAACTCCTTGTGCTGCAGAGATGCGCTGGGGAGAGGGGAGGGGACCCTCGCTGGCCCCAGCTCACAGCATTTGGGCTGTTAGTGTCCCCCTGAGCTGGGCAGAGGCCTCGTGTCTGGGCCATGGAAATAGCACAGTGCGCTCTGCCCCCTATCGGCCCTGGTGGGCAGGGAATAGCCACAGCACAGTGTGTCCCAGACACATCCCGATACTCCCCCGTGGGTGCTCGGAGGCAGGGAATAGCTGCAGTGCTGGGCACCCCGGCCTCGGTCCTGGAAGCTCCGTTCCCATCCCGCATGGACTCTGGGAAGCCTTCGGGGGCGGAACCCGATTGACATCGTTTCCGGAATAAAGCAGGTTCTGGAAACGCGGAGCCGCCTTGGTGCTGTCAGGAGAACCCGCGAGTGTCGCAGGATGGAGGGGCGGAGGAGGCAGCACTTGGCAGGATGCAGCCGGTCGGTTCTTACAGGGTCAGTCTGACCCGGGAGCAGCTCAGTCTCTGAAGAGGCAAAACCGTGGCACTGGCCAGTCTGAGACACAAGTCACGCTGGCACTTGGATAATCTGCCCTCACTTCCTGGTCTCTAATACTCAGCTGGGCTGAAGCCCCACAGCAGGAGGTTTTCTCTCTTCCCAAACGTTTGTGCCCTTTAACTATGATCACTCCGGCTGTTCTCATCATCCGTAGGAATGTCCAGTCGCTCCTTGAATCTTGCTAAATTCTTGCCTCAGTGACTCCTGTGGTGGGGAGTTCCACAGGCTAATCTCACATTGCGCGAAACAGCCTTTCCTGGGCTCAGTTTCGAATATTCCCCTCTTTGTGACTAGCCTTTGCTCTAGTGTTATGAGGTGGGAAGAACAGAAGCTCCCCATCTCCCTTCTCTATCCCCATCAGTCATTTATAGACTCTTAACATGTTCCCTCTTACGTTCACTCTACGGTGCCAGTCCCAGTCTTTTCAATCTCTCTCCGTAGAGGGTTTTTCCAGGCCCCTGATCATTCTCATTGCCTGTCTCTGAACCCCTCTGGTTCTCCAGTGTCCTATGTGCAAGGGGGTGCCCAGGGCAGCTCATGGGTTGCAGGGGAGGTCACCCCATTGACTGATATCCAGGCATTAGACTAGCCCTCATGTTATTCTCTAGCCCCTTCCTCCAAAGCAGCTCCCCATTTGTCCCTTCCAGGGGCGGACGGCTCATTCAGGCATTGCCGTCTGCACTGATATTGCGGCACTGGGCATCGCCAGATCCGCTTGGTAGCTTTAGCAAGCAGCAGGCGCGTGTCCTGGCAGGGCTGCTTTTCCCTTCCCAGCTGGAGCGGCTCATTCCAGACAATAGCCAACTCGCTCCCGGTCGCTGACCCAGTCACTGAACTCCTGGCTCTAACCAGCTCCGTTCCCCAGAGCACGGTGCATTTCGGACGCCTGGATTATCCCCCAGCAGCGTCACCCCAGTGCCCAAGGTACAGCTCCTAGATCAGCCTGACCTAGCGCTTTCTCTCTCCTTGCAGACATTGACGAGTGCCAGCGAAACGCCACAATCTGTGAGCCCCATGGGAACTGCATCAACATGCCAGGGAGTTACATGTGTAAATGCAGTTGGGGATTTAGGAAGAGTCAAAAGGATCCGTCTCAGATCTGCACAGGTACAACGGGAGCTGGAAACAGTCGTGACAAAGGCATGATGTTTCTGGCTTTTCTGCAGTTTTGCTAACGCGTGGCGTTTCCTTAAAGCCCCACCTCCCAGAGTCACGTGATTCTGCTTTTGGCTAAAATCAAAATTAGGGCCTGGCCCACATGGCAGAGGAAAAACTGCCAAACATTATAGTGGGGTGACCCACAGCTCCCAAACCAGAGTCAAACAAAACAAATCCCAAAATGGATTTTTTTTTTAAATCTCGTGATTTTTAAACCAATCTTGTGACCTTTTTTGCAGCCTGGCTCAGGGTTTGGGGCTTTTATTGATTGCTTGGCGTTGGCGATGCTGTTAATGCACGGCCACTGAACTGACCCAGGATCTCTGAAACTAACCTCCATGCCTGGATGGGGAAACTAACCAGGTTGCCCTGAGGTCTTGCTCTTTCTCTGCGCCACACCCGGGCAGTGTCTGTTCTGACTCCCAGCCTGCTTACACATTGGAAACTGAGCCCGGGGACTGAACGTCGCCATTTCTCTTGCCATGCTGCTTAATTCCACCGCGGCAGGAGCGTAGGACTTGGGGATGTCATTAGAAGCTGCAACATCCCCCCAAACCTGCAGCTGCAATCAGAGCCCAAGATGCTCTTTCGTAGCAGAGCTTTGAGGTGGGGGCAGGTCAGGTCTTTGCAAAGCAAACTGGGCTGAGACGGAGCCGAGGACTCTGTGTTGGATCAACCTTTAATACAGCTTGGGCTCAAAAAGCCCATTAGTTTCTGGAACCCCATTTTTTCCAGCCTTGATGCACTCCCAGCCTTGAGCCAGGAGACACAGAGCTCCTCTCAGTGAGGGGGAGCAGAGGGTAAAATCTGCCTGGTGAGGCAGGGGAGACACATTCTTGGCCTTCTATGGAAGAAACAAGGTGATCGAGACAGGTCTAGCAGGTTGGGTGTGAGACGGAGACTTGGGTTCTAGTCCCAGCTCTGTTACTGCTGGGTGTCCTTGGGCAATTCCCTGCCACAGTTTTCTCTCCCACCTCTTGTCCATTTAGACCACAAGCTCTTTATGGCAGTGTGTGTGCAGCGCGCTGGGTGCTGCCTTTATGCAAATAACGACCGAGGGGAAGGGGTGTAGCGGGAAATAGCAAAACGCTGTCACGGGAAAGAGAGAGAAGGGGAGTCTGAGACAGAGCTGCTGGAACACGGCCCAAGGGAAGGATCTGTGAGCGCTCTTGACTCTCCCCGCTGATTGACTTGTTTGCTGATGTCCAGGCGAAGGGGATTTTAGCCACAAGGATTTCTGTGTGAAGCAAAAGCGTTATGGATAAATATCGGGGAGAGCTTAATGGCCAGAATGAGTGCGTCTCTGCACGTGCAAGCCAGGTCCCTAGGTCAAAAACCCCGCTCCCTGCACGGGGTGAGTGACCCTGCTGCACTACGGAGCCCCGACATCCTCCGTGTATCCCCCCTTTGCCCGGCAGCTGGCACGTTGGCAGCCAGGCGGGTGCACGGCCCTCCAGCGTTTGGCTAGATCACAGCAGAGCTCTCTGTGCCCGGGCAGGGGGGGCCCGTCTGTCAGATCAGACTCTCCACAGCGGTGAAAGGCCCCAGGAGGCAGCGAGGGCAGTAAAGTCCCCTCCGTTTGGGGCTGGATTCATGGGCTGTATAAGTAGATGCATTGCCAGCAGATCGAGGGACGTGATCATTCCCCTCTATTCGACATTGGTGAGGCCTCATCTGGAGTTTTCAGTCCAGTGTTGAGCCCCACACTACTAGAAGGATGTGGGAAAAGTGGAAAGAGTCCAGTGGATTGCAACAAAAATGATTAGGGGGCTGGAGCACATGATTTATGAGGAGAGGCTGAGGGAACTGGGATTGTTTAGTCTGCAGAAGAGAAGAATGAGGGGGGATTTGATAGCTGCTTTCAACTACCTGAAAGGGGGTTCCAAAGAGGATGGATCTAGACTGTTCTCAGTGGTACCAGATGACAGAACAAGGAGTAATGGTCTCAAGTTGCAGTGGGGGAGGTTTAGGTTGGATATTAGGAAACACTTTTTCACTAGGAGGGTGGTGAAGCACTGGAATGGGTTACCTAGGGAGGTGGTGGAATCTCCTTCCTTAGAGGTTTTTAAGATCAGGCTTGACAAAGCCCTGAC